GAGGAGACTATTTTATGTCTGATTGACCCACACTTTAGAAATAGGCATGAATACCCTATGCTGAGCAATATATTATGTTTATTTTTGTATTACTTGGTTTTATTGCTATGACAGAAGGATAACACTGCTGGCATCTTAAATTTCTGCTTTGGCATCTTTGAGTGAGATAAAGTATGCTTCCTAGTTAATCTGATGACAGTAGTGATTGTCCAGGATTAGAAGATGTTCAGGATAAGAGAAATGTCAGAAACTTGCTTAAGGAAAAAAAAAAATCAGAATAACAAAGCAGAGTTTAATAGTGAAGGGGGTAAGGTTTAGAGGAACATGAGCATAGAGAGAGAGAGAGAGAGAAAGATGTGTGTGTGAGAGAGAGAGAGAGAGACAGACAGACAGACAGACACTCCCCCTGTGGAAAATATCTCTGTAGATCTGTTACTAAAAGGTAGCATTTGCTGTTCCCTGGACTGCCTTCCTGCTCTGGGGCGTCTTTCTATTAGAAATTTAGAGGATGTCTTATTTTCTGACCTATTTCCTTGAGGACAGTGAAGTAAGGCAGGAGATTGGGTCCCTAAGGGCCTTGTTTTGGGAAAGATCACTATAATAGCCTCTGGCAGTGAGCACGAAATAGAAACATGCTTTTATGAAGGAGAGAACCACGATTTTACATATTCTTCTCAACACCTTACTTTTGAGAAAATTAGGATAATTTTTAAATCCCAGAGAATCATTACTCTTTCAGGAGATTTACCCATGGGACTTTTTTTGTCTTGGTTTTTGTTTTTGTCATTGTCTAAATGGGCAGGCTGATGTTTTTCCGTTCAGGCTCTCAAAGAGGATGACAGCTGATCCTTTGCTTTTACGTTTTCCTCCTTCCCTGGCTGCTCCTTGGTTGTGTCCTCTGATGACCCCTCTTCCCTTCCCTAGACAGGCAAGTGTTCTAGCACTCAGTTCACTTCTCTGTCTACACTCACTGTCCTGGCAATCTTATTCAGACCTGGAATAGAAGTACCATCCATTTGCCAAAATGTTTATTTCCCGCCAGTCCATCTTCCAGAATCCAAACTTGAATGTTGGGCACTCATTCATACGTATATAACAGACATATTGAACTTTACCATTCTAAAATTGAACACAGGTTATTCCTTACTTGCAAAACCTGTTACCCTCAAAGACTTTGTCTGAGTTGATGGCAGCTCTGTGGCTCTTGCCAAAAGCCTGTAGAAGTCATTAATCCAGTCCATTAGAAAATCCTATTGATCGATCTCTTCCTCCAGCTTCTGCTGTCACCACCTCAGTGGAAGCCACCATCCTTTCTTGCTTAGATTATACAATAGCCTCTTGCCAGATTAGCCTCTTTGCCCCTTTGTTCTCAGTTTAGAAGCCAATCTGATCCAAACATTTAGGAGGAAATTTAGATTATGCCACCTTTCTCAAAACCTTGCAGTGGCTACCCCTGTCTCTCAGATTCCTTGGACATGTCAGCCTGCTCCCACCTTAGGGCCTTTGCTCTGCTGTCCACTGCCCGGAGTGCTCTTTCCCTCTTTATTCTCTGGGCCTCGTCCCTCGTCTCCTTCAGGTCAGATCTCACTTTTCCAGTGAGCTTCTCCGGACTGCCCTTTCTTTGAGTCAGCTGCCTCTTCTTTGGATCCCTGATCTTCTTTACCCTGCTCTACCTTTCCTGTTCCATATGCTTATCACTTTCTAATATACTAAAGGTATGCATATCCTTTGTGGTAGCCAATAGCCACATGTGGCCCTTTATATTTTAATTAATGAAAATTAAATAAAGTAAAAAATTTGGTTCGTCATCAGTCACGCTGACCACATGTTAAGTGCTCAAGAGTCAATGTGGCTGGTGGCTACTGTATTTGTACAGAGAACATTTGCATCATCTCAGAACGTATTATTGGACTACACTGGTACAGAATTTACAGATTTATTGTGTTTGATGTTTATTCTCTGTCTCTCACAAGAATATAAACTTCATAAAGGCAGAGGTTTTTCTCTAAATAGAGAAATTATTTATAAAATTATTTACTGTAGAAAAGTTACCCTAGAACACTAGTTGGCACATAGTAGGTGATCAATAAATACATGTTGAATTGAGTGGAATTACCATTTTATTTGAAATAATTAAAAGAGTGAATTTCTGTTTCATTCACAAAGTAATTATTATTAAAATAAAAATATTTGTAACTAACGTTTTTGGAATGCTTATGTGCTGGCCCTGGCACTGCCTTAGGTATTTATTTCACTGAATTCTTTAAAAGCTGTGTATGGGGGCACCTGGGTGGTTCAGTTGGTTGAGTGTCCAGCTCTTGATTTTGGCTCAGTGTCATGAGATCGAGCCCTGTGTTGGGCTCTCCGTTCAGCATGGAGTCTGCTTGAGATTCTCTCCCTCTCCCTCTGCTCCTCTCCTTGCTTGTGCACTCTCCCTCTCTCTAAATAAATAAATAAAATCTTTAATGAAAAAAAAAGGTGTGTGTGTATAAGATTCCCATCTATAGATCAGGGAATGGGCACAGAGAGGTTGAGTGGCTTGACCAAGGAGCACAAACCAGCTTAGTGGGACAGCCAGAATTTAGACCTGCTACACGTGACTTTCAGTGCTTAGGGCCTAGCCAATGCTCAGTTATCTACTTCATGAGTTTCAGGTTAATTTTGCAGTTCAGGTTAAATCTGTCCTTCTACTCATCTGCTCATTGGGGGAATTAAAGTTAATGATATTTTATATAAAAAGGAAATGTTATGCTTACTGCTGAGTTGTTTTGGCAACATACAGTGAGTTAAGGATCAGGTTTTTTTAAAAAAAGTTGATACTTAAGATCTCAGATTTCAGTAACCTAAGAAATTACTCATTTAAAAATACTGATGTAAAATGTATTTTCAGAACTGCAGTTAGATAGTGATCACAGCAGATATCACCTGCCACATTTAGATTGTTCTGATTTTAGCCTGTATTGTGTTAGTTTGATCTCTTGGTATTTAGTTGCAGTTGCTTATTTCCATATAGACTGTGTGTGTGTGTGTTTGTATTTGCATGTGTATAAAATAAAATCACTTCCTGGAAACTAAGGTACAAATGAGCAGTGAAATCTGACTTTATTTTCTCCAGGTTTGTTGTTGTTGTTAAGGTGATACTGACTGGGATTCAGTCATTTTAAGAAACCAGGATAGTGGTGGTAATAAATTTTTAACCAATGTTTCTTGTGTGCCAGGCACTCTGCTAAAGCCTTTTACGTGCATTATCTCATTTAATGCCAACAAAAGTTCTTGGGGGTAGGGGCTTTTTACAGTTCACGAAATTATTGTGTGTCCAAGGTGGCTGATAAGTGACAGAGAGGGAATATGAACATGCTTCCTCCCACTCCCAATCTCCACAAGGAGTCTGTATTCTTCAGAGACTGTATGCTTTGAAAAAAACCTAGAGTTAATTGATAGAAATACCTGAAGTAAAGGAGATATATTTTTATTTCCCTTTTTATACTCTTCCCAAGTCTTCCAAATTTCTGTCTTAGATTGAGGGACTGTCATGAGTGCCTTCTACATTTGAATTGAGAACTGTTCTTCTCAACTCACTCTGTACACTGGAATCAAATGGGGGGTGTTTAAAAAACATGCCTGAGTCCCATCCCCAGAGGTTTTGATTTAATTGATTTGGGATACCACCTGGACGTTGGGATTTTTAAAAGTGCTTTGGGTAGTTACAATGTCCGGTGAGGGTTGAGAACCCATGGTGTGTGCCAGTGGACCCCAAACTTGTTTGCACATTGGAGTCACCTGGGGGGCTTCAGAAACCACTGATGCCTGGGCTTCTTCCACAGGATTGTGATTGAATTGGTCTGTGCTGGGGTCTGGAGTTTGGAAGTGTTAAGATTTCCCAGGTGATTCCAGTGTGCAAACAGATTTGGGGACTTCTGGTTTATGCAGTGGTTTTGGACCTTGGCTGCCCATTAGTATCACTTGAAGAATTTTAAAAACTCCCATTATCCTGGTTTATGCCCACCCCAATTAAATAGAATCTTTGGCAGTGGACCTAGTTTTTGACACTCCAGGTGATTCTGGCATGCAGCCAAAGGGGAGAAGTTCAGGGTTCTTCATTTTCTCTTCTATATACTTTTGGACCAAGTCCATTTAGTTTCACAACTCAGAATACTTGTGGAATGAAGGGAGAAATGATTGGTCTCGAAGAGGCTTTTCCTTATACTGCGCTCAGCTTCCTCCCCCCATAATTTTATTGTGGTAGAATATATACATAACACAATATTGACCAGTGCAGCCATTTTTAAGGTATACGATTCAGTGTCATTAGGTACATTCCTAACATTGTGCAGCTGTCACCACTATCCCTTTTCAGAACTTTGTCATCATCCCTAACAGAAGTTCTGTACCCAAGAAAAAATAACTCCTTGTTTTTCCCTCTTCCCAGCCTCTGGTAACCTTCCACTTTCTGTCTGAATTAGCCTATTCTAGGTACCTCAGATAAATGGAATCATACATTTGTCCCTCTGTGTTGGGCTCTTTTCACTTAGCCTGGATTCATCCATGTTGTTACCTGTCAGCATCGCATTCCTTTTGCAAGGCTGAATAATATTTCATTGCACATTTATACTAAATTTTGTTTATCCACTTATCTGTTGATAAACATTTGAGTTCATTTTCTTAAACCAATGCGAAAGAATACAGAGCTAAGCAAATTATGGGAAGTAATATGTCCTGCATTCCAGATAATTAGCTAACAAAGTTCGTTTTGTCTGCTTATATTCATGTGGTTTAATTAGTACTAAAACCGAAGATGAGACTGCTGATTTTTCTGATTTACTAATTCTAGCACCCCCCTGGCCCTTGTTTTATATTATTTGAATGGTATCAAAAATGAATTTGCCTTCTATAACCAAAGAACCATTAAGAAAAATTAAAATTCTTTAATTAAGAAAAATAAAAGTGATATTCTTTCCCCATGCCTTATAGAGCTTGTTCCTTTTCACTGTGTTCTCCAGGAGTACCAGGTGTCAAAGAAGAACGTTTTGAAGAGGGGATGATGGTAAAGCACTGTGCATTGTCCCTTGTGGGAGAACCCATCATGTACCCAGAAATCAATAGGTTTTTGAAACTACTCCACGAGTGTAAAATCTCCAGTTTCCTGGTCACAAATGCACAATTCCCTGTGGAAATCAGGTGAGACATCCAGCTTATTAAGATACTCTGCTTGGATCTGTGTTTGACTGAAGGCATTAATGTATTCAAAAAGGGGTTATTGATTGCAAATTACATACACATGTTGGCTTTTTGGGGCTGAGAGATGGGCCTACTCTTAAAAATTCGTTCTATTAGGGAAGATAACATTAGTAGAAAGAATAGAGGAACAAATCAGTTGCTGGGGGAATTCAAAAGAGAATGCAGTTTTTTTTTTCTACAAGGGGAGAAACAGGGTAAAACTTCTCAGAGAAGCCACTGTTTAATTGGAATCTTAAAGGTAGGAAGCTGTAGTTTTTAGTAAGAACCTCCTGAGAAAGGTAGGAAGTTAGGGTATTTGTGATACCATTATGTAAATATAGTTCATCTGGACCACAGAGTGTGTGAAGAGACTGGCAGCTGGAAACCAAGTTGAAAAGGTAGGGGGTAGATTGTAGAGGACTTCAAGTGCTGTTCTTTGGAAAGATCTTGCTTCCTGCAGAGCCGTCTGCTAGCATGGTGTAAAACGGGAGAGCCAGAAAGCAGGCAACAAGATAGGAGAGTGTTTAGGTAAGAGTCATAAAGATGAAAGTAAGACAGTGAGAATGAGGAGCCCTAAGACAGACATTATTGAGACGTAATAGATCAGCTTGGCAAACTGCATGGCTCTGAGAGCCCAGCATAGAAGAGGACCAGGTAATGGCTGGAGGGGTTCCAGCCATGTTGATTGCTAGGATTATGGGGCCCTGGAGCAGTAGAGGATCGCATAAGGAATAGGTTTAGCATGTAAGATGTTGAGTTGGTTTGGGTGACTTAGAGGGAAAGCTTTACAGATGGAGATGACCATCTTCTGAGGCCTGGAAATGACCTGTTTTTGCATTATACTTGAACTATGCACATGTTATAACACCAAAAACATTAAATTTTACTTATTTACTTGTGTTTTCCCCATAAGACTGAGTTGCTTGAGACTGGTGACCCCTGCTTATTTATCTTCGTGTCCCTAGTATAGTGTCTATAAGTTCTCAGGAGATGGCTAGTGAAATATTGGGGAAATTCCCACATAGGAATAAAAGACAATGATCTTTTAAAATTCAAAGTTGTTTTGTAAATACTGACCAATAAAGAGTAACATGAAAAAAAGGAGAAAATAATTTTCAAATATAAAAAGACAGTATTAGAGTGACGTCAGAGTCATGGAGGACTGCCTTGTTCCTTTTTTCTCTTGCCTTCCATTTACAACTAATCAGACTCCCATAACCAAACAAAAAAAAAGTACCTCTGTACAGCACACCAAGACACCCAAGAGATGCATTTGTCTGTGCACCCAGAAGTGGGTGGATTGGGCATTGGAGGGGGCCGTGGAGTGAGGGGAGTGGCAGCAGAGGCTGCAGGGACAGGTCTGGTAGGGAGCCAGCACCACCCTTCTGGCAGGGGAGGTGGAGGCTGAAGGTGGTTGCTACAGAGCCAGAGAACCTGTTGCTCTCTCTGAGAGACCAGTGACTGGGGTGGGGAGGAAAAGGGAAGGGAAGAAGGCAGACACAGAACTGAAGGAAAGTATGTTTCCTGCTGTCTGCCCCCGGGGATTTAGGCAAAATAACTGCCCATGGAGCTCTGGGAACCCCCCACTTGAGGATCCTGCTACCTGGTCATGGGGCACACCCAAAGCCCTAGGTGCTAAGCACACCCCTCCTTCCACTGTGCTGCCACCTCTCCCCCTGCTTTTTAAAATTTTTTAGTTTTTTAATTTTTTATTTTTTTGAAAGATTTTATTTGAGAGAGAGAATGAGAGAGAGAGAGAGCACATGAGAGGGGGGAGGGTCAGAGGGAGAAGCAGACTCCCCGCTGAGCAGGGAGCCCGATGGGGGACTCGATCCCGGGACTCCAGGATCACGACCTGAGCCGAAGGCAGTCGTTTAACCGACTGAGCCACCCAGGCACCCCCCCCCGCCCCCCCGCTTTTTTTTTTTTTAAATGCACAGCTCTCCCAGCCTTAGTGGGGAGTCAGCGCTGGTAAGAGAAACCAAAAACTTGTGCTGCAGCGCCACCTTCTGGAAGATAAAAGGAAGGCTTCCAATTACCAACCTGTTAAAACTATTAGAATCAAAGTAAACAAGGCTTTTACCTAAATAAGAAAGGTGTTTGCTGCTTTGGATGCAGCGGCAGAGGCACTTTTCATGAAACACTATGAAAAATCATGGTTACATGGTATCACAAAAGGAAAATGACAATTTTCTAGTAACCAAACCCCAAAACACAGACTGTTGCAATCTGATACATAATTAAAAACTAGCTATTATGATGAAATTCAACAAGCTACAAGAAAACTTAGAAAGGCAATACAGTGATCTCAGGAATAAAATTAATGAATAGAAGGAATACTTTACCAAAGAGATTGAAATTCTAAAGAAGAACCAAACAGAACTCTGGAGCTGAAAAACTCAATAAATGAAGTGAAGAATGCATTTAGAAAGCATTAGAAACAGAGCAGATCAGATGGAAGAGAGAATTCACGAGCTGGAAGATAGGAATCTAGAAATGACTCAGGTGGAAGAGGAGAGAGAACTAAGATTTTAAGAAAATAAAGAAACCCTGTGAGTTTCTCCATTAGGGGAGTCCACATTAGATGAATGGGTATATACCGGAGGAATAAGAGAGAGAGAAGGGAGCAGAGAGCATATTTAAAGAAATAATAGCTGAGAACTTCCCAAACCTGAGGAAAGAACTGGACATACAAGTCCACAAAGCTAATAAAACACTTATCTCAATGTGAAAAGACCTTCTTTAAGACACATTATATTAAAACTGCAAAAGTCAATGGTAAAGAATTTTAAAGGCAGCTGGGGGAAAAAGACAATAACTTACAAAGGAACCTGCATTAGGCTATCAGCAGATTTCTCAGCAGAAACTCTACAACCTTGGGAAGAGTGGTGGGATGATTTTTTCAAAATATTGAAAGATAAAAACTGCCTCCCAAGAATATCTGGCAAAGTTATCCTTCAGATATGAAGGAAAGATAAAGGCTTTCCCAGACAAGCCAAAACTAAGGGGAGTTCACTACCACTAGACCTGCCTTACAAGATATGTTGCAAGGAGCTCTTCAAGCCGAATTGGGAAGATGAAAGTACACAAAACTCTGATTAAGGTGGTAAATGGACAATTAGAAGACTGTAACCCTTTTTTAGAATAGTATATTAAACTCTTAATTATAGTATAAAGGTTAAAGGAAAAGCATTAAGAAGTTGTGGCTACTACAACTTGGTAACAAAATCACAGCATGAAAAGGTGATTTGTGACATCAAAAATATTGACGAATAACAATTATCATATGGTTTCATTCACATGTGGAATATAAGGAATAGCACAGAGGGCCATAGGGGATGGGAGGGAAAACTGAATGGGAAGAAATCAGAGTGGGAGACAAACCATGAGAGACTCTGGAATCCGGGAACCAAACTGAGGGTTACAGAAGGGAGGGGGTGGGGGGATGGGGTAGCCTGGGGATGGGCATTAAGGAGGGCACATGCTGTGATGAGCACTGGCTGTTATACGCAACTAATGAACACTACATCAAAAACTAGTGATGTACTGTATGTTGGCTAATTGAACATAATAAAAATTAAAAAATATTGAAGAATTAAAAGGATGGAATTTTTATAGGCAAATCTTGATTTGCTATCAGCAGAAAAAATGACTATTTTATCTAGGAGCTGTTTTTGTAATCCTCATGGTAATCACTAAGCAAAAATGTAGAGCATAGACATGAAACATAAAGAAGAGGGGAGACTGAGCAAATCACCATGGAAAACCACCAACTTACAAAGGTAGAAACAGAAGGAAAAAGAAACAATGGGAAAGCAAAAGATAAAATGGCAGTAGTAAATCATTACATATCAGTAATCACCCAAAATGTAAATGGATAGAACCCACCAGTCACAGGGCACAGAGTGGCTGAATGGATTAAAACAAAAACCCCCACAAGACTCAACTATATGCTGCCTATAGAAGACTTTTTTCAGCTCTAAAGACACCTACAGGCACATAGTGAAAGGATGGAAGATGACAGTCCAAGCAGATGGAAATCAAAAGGAGGTAGATGGGGCAGTACCTGTTTCAGACAAAATAGACTCCAAGCCAAAAAGGATAACAAGAGACAAAGAAGGTCATTATATAATGATAAGTGAATCCGTACATCAAGATGATAGAACACTTGTAAATATATACAGTTCTAATACCCAAGCACTGAAATATATTAAGCAAATACTAAGAGAGCTTGAGCTATAAATCAATAATACAATAATAGTAAAGGACCCAAATACCCCACTATCAGCAATGGACGGATCAGGAAATCATTCAGACAGGAAATCAATAAGTAAACATTAGAATTGAACCACACTTTAGAACAAATGGACTTAACAGACATATATAGAACATTCCAAAATAAATAACTCAATTTAGCAACAAAAAACAATCTGATTGGAAAATGGGCAGAAGAACTAAATAGGCATTTTTTTTTTAAGATTTTATTTATTTATTTGAGAGAGAGAATGAGAGAGAGAGAGCATGAGAGGGGGAGGGGCAGAGGGAGAAGCAGACTCCCTGCCGAGCAGAGAGCCCGATGCGGGACTCGATCCCGGGACTCCAGGATCATGACCTGAGCTGAAGGCAGTCGCTTAACCAGCTGAGCCACCCAGGCGCCCTAAATAGACATTTTTGCAAAGAAGATATCAAAATGGCCAACAGGTGCATGAAAAGATGCTCAGCATCACTCATCATCAGGGAGATGCAAATCAAAACCACAGTGAGATACCACCTCATACCTGTTCAAACGGCTGTTATTGAGAAGACAAGACAACAGGTGCTGGCGAGGATGTGGTGAAAAGGGAACCTTTATACTTTGTTGGTGGGAATGTAAGTTGATGCAACCACCATGGAGAAGAATATAGAGGAATATGGAGGTTTCTCAAAAAATTAGAAATAGACCTACCATATGACCCAGCAAC